CAAGGGGTTGAGACTCGTACCCCTAAGGTTGTGCCCCTAAAGGTTCCCCTTAATCTACTCCTAGTATGGCCCTTATACTGCCTTGAAGGATCCCCCAAAACCCATGGGTACAACCTGAAGGGCCCAGAGGCAACCCTTTTCACCAGTAAAGCCCGCAGCCCATAAATTCCCTAAACCCTAAACCCTAAACCCTAGACCCTAAACCCTAAACCCTAAACCCTTCGAAGGTTCATGGGCATAAGCAGTATAGGAAACCCAGCGAGGGCTATAACCACATACTGTTGCTGGGACCATGTTCCTTTCCTTTGTTAGGTGTAGGTCTTAATTAGAAGCCCCTTCAAGCCAAAAAGGGCACTCTTTCCACTCCTAGGTAGGATACTCTTGGGTCTAGTATAGCTGCCCAACCCTAAACCCTAGACCCGAAACCCTAAACCCTAAACCGTAAACCCAAACCCTAAACCCTAGAACCCCAGTTCTAACCACCATGGGGTGCTACCGGGCACCAAACCTAGAAGCCCGCGAAACCCTCTGCTACGTGTCGCGAATAGGGTTCCAAAATGTTCCAAACAAATCCCGCGCATGACGCCAGCCCCCGTCGGAGGCATCACTTGAGAACGTGAATATTACAAGGGTTGCGCGACTTTAGAACGTTAATAATAATAATAATAACATTACAAGGGTTGCGGGACGCAGTGTTGACTTGGCGACATCCACCTTCGCCGTCATTTGTGTGAGAACACGTGGAGAGGTATCGCCTGAGCACCGGCGCAGGCGTGCGAGTGTGTGGTGCTTATATGCAGGCACGACGTCTACCTTGGCCTTCGGTTACGTGAGCATTGCTACATGTGCAGGCGCGCGCGCGCTGCCAGTCTTGAGAAGGCTATAAAGGTCGCGAGCGTGTGGTGTCGACTTGCGCGATGTCCTGAGTGTTGTGTGAGCGTATGCGAGCGTAAATCTTGCACTGTGTTTAATAAACAGCTCTCCCCCCCCCACCCCCCTCCCCCAACAAATTTGGACCTATAAACTGATGGTGGGGACCCCCCCCCAAACAAATTAGCCTCAGGGCCTCAAGCCTTTAGGACCTGAAGCGTTCCAGCCTTTACTAATTATTCCTGGACTCCAAGGCCCTCAGGGCCTCAAGCCCTATTGCGTAAGCCCTTAACCCTAACCCTGAGGCTCTAAAGGGACTCTTATTGATGGATCTTTATAAAGGTACAGTCTGGGGGGAATTATATTCCAAGTGTCTTGCAGAGGCAAGTAGTATAAATGTAAGCACAATCAGGCAGATGTTGCAGATGGCAAGGCCTTGTAGCAACTGGGACACATTTTGATGCCATGATGCTCAGTGTCCGGTCGATGCATGAATTACAAATTGAAATGCGTGCTATGGACCTGATTCACAAAGAAAACCTGGCATCAGGAGTAGTATCGCAGAAGCAGGGAGCTCTCCAAGGTCTTCCGATGACACTTCCTTGCAATTCCTGGCAGGAAAAGGCTTTAAAAACACTCTATCATCAAAATGCTAAGTGGAAAGGCAGGCGCAGTAACGAAAAAAACCCAGCCCCGCCTTTCAAGGAGCCCATAAACGACTCGTCGCGAAACGTGTGACTGTAGGATGGGTTGTGACCATCCAGATAGGCACAGTATGCTACCTCTTGCCACCCCTGGGCAGGTCACCGCCAGTGCAGGCAGAAGCTGTACAAAAATAATACATCAATCGTGCGGCAATCTTAAACTGAATCAGCCCCAGTTGCATGCAGCTTCGGCCGCAAAATCCACAAGCGTTCAGCTGTTTCAGAAGCATATCTGGCCATCTTTGCATATGCCACAGATCCCTTGTCCTAAGTTTGCAGAGGCCATGGCACAGAAACAGAATTTGGCTTAAGAAAGAAAGAAAGAAAGAAAGAAAGAAATGCAACCAAAAAATTCACAAAATTGAGACCAGCTGCACACGCATCCATGAGACTTTCGCGCTGGGGCATGGAGAGGTATCGGGGGAACTTCTCCATCAACAGAAAAAACTCGTCCAGCCAGTACCTTGCATTGCAAATGCTGAAGGTTGCCTAGTAAGGTTCCAGGCCCCTCCAAAGATTTTTTGAGTTTTCATAGACAAGATGCACACACTTCACCATCTCGTAGAAGCGAGCCGGATTCGGCAATGTAGTGATATCGATCTCACCACACAAGCTGCACAGCTTGTAGTTCATCCAGGCCAGCACCACTCGAGCCTTGTAAAATCAGAGTTCACAGCCAGAGCACACAAGAACACACAATCCCAAGTACATATCTGAGGTGCCAAGTTACATTGTGGCCTTTGCAAGCTAGCTCTGCATAGCCAGTCTGTGCATCCCGAAGACTCTTGCTGTTGAACTCTGGCTGTGAATGCCTTATGGCACAAAGCAGTTGCGTGTCTCAATGTTGCACAGGTTTTGTTTAGACGAGTTTCTGTATCTTGCGCAAACGGGCCCAACTTGTGAAATCGGCGTAGGCCAAAGAGAGTCGCGTGTTCAGTCCTTCATTCCACGCCGGAGCTGGCCAAACATCCTGCTGGTAGCATGGACACATGTGTCTGTGTACGTCTGCGCAGGCCATACGCACAGTAGTGCATAGAAGCTGCACCTCGATTGCGAACAGTTCAAGAAGAACGGAAGCAGCAGCCCACGCCACTATCCCGAGATTGAGCGTGTGGAGTGTGCACCATTTCAAACAGGCAGGGTCGAATCCGTGGACTTTAAGAAGGCCACCTTTAAGCGAGCACACATGTACACAGACACACACACACACACAAATACCTGCTAACAAAATGCCATGATGCACTGCTTTCCATCCTGGGTTGGCTTGCAAAGGCTTGCAAACGATGCCAGTGATCTGCGCTCATGATGCATAAGCTTCGAGGGGAAGGAGAGATATTCGGAGTCATGTGCCCGGCAATGGTGACAGATTTCGGCTGAATTCCAGCCACTGCTGAGGTTGAAAGCCTCCTGCGATGAGTAAAAACAAATTAGCATTTACAAGTGAAATTCGATTCGGCACAGCAGTGTGTCCTTGACAAATTTCCAATCTGCTCTAAATTCCACAAAGGCAGAAGGGGGGAATTCTTGCTGGAGCGCCGAGTCTTCGATATCATCATCTACCTTCATGGGGTCGATGCAAGGGCTCGTTGGAAAGTTTCTTGGAGATACCCCTTTGCAGGCGTAGTTCAAACTGGCGGCCACCTTGGCTAAAGACAAACAAATCTGTGGTTCAAACTTGTGTGAATCTCTTGGAAATCCTACTAGTACTAGTACTTGGCCCAAACACCGGGTGCATGTAGGCTTCGAGAGTCGCGAATCCGGTGCTGAGTGCCTCAGTATATTCAGAAAGAATGCTAGCAAAGCGCTAGGCAAATAATCTGCTATCAGGCCTGAAAAAAAATCCAGCAAGTTGCAGCACGAATGATAAACAAAGGGTACCTCTCTTGATCTGCGTCCAGCAGGAAGTTGAGGGAGACTGCTATGATCTTTTGGTTCGTATCGGTGTAGCGGCAGTCATCACCATGAAGGCCGATAGGCACATGATCCTGAGTGAAAGCATGTGGCCACCTGATCTGGCCATCGGTGTGGTTCTTGAAGTGCTGCCAGAATCTCTGTAGCTCATCCGGCTTCGATCCAGGCAGTCCATGTTTCTCATGCAGGTGGGATAGTAGGACATGGGGAAGAACAATGGGCATATCCCTAAGCTGATCATGACTTGGTAGCTCACGAGGCAACCCACAGAACTGCTTATTTCAGCTTAAGTCTCTTCATCTTGATGCTCCAGCGTCGCGTGGTCGGATGCCGGTAGCGTACTGGCACGGGAACCCGATGGAGTGGCACCTGGGTGGCAATCGATCTTTAGGGTTTAGGGTATATATAGGGTATAGGGTTTAGGGCTTAGGGCTTAGGGTTTAGGCACCTTCTCGCCTTGCACCATACATTGGGCGATTGGTTTGGGATTATTCAGGTCTATGGCACCTTATCCCTGAATGCTCTGCGTAGAACATCCCGCTCCACATTGGACTCATGGGCTCCATAGGCACCCGCACTTGCTAGGTTCACCAAATCTTGAGCTGGGCGAAGTCCTGCAGTATCCATGTCCTGGCTGAAATTCAGCACAACACTTTTGCACAAGTATGTACAGACCGATCTACATGTGCACACAGTAGGTCCTTCAAAGCTGCGTGTGCAACACTGCGGGCAGCAGCATATGAGAGGTCACCACTTGAAATCATTGTCTTCAGGTGGCCCACGAGGTAGGATGTCGATGCCCGCCCCCCTGCGTGGATCGATGCTGTATACGTGTATATATGGAATCGAAGCGGGCGGCTTGTGCACATGCCGGTTCTATTTAATGTGACCTTTTCGACCACATCTAGGCACAGAGCGAAGCAGGTTCCCCAGGCCCACCACGTCCGGCAAGCGGCCGAAACAACTCGACTCATGTCGTCTCTTTGAAACGTGTACAGCTATCAGAGCGGTGGATGAAATCACTAATGTAGACACTTCAAATTGGGCCTCGCGCAAAGACACACGCAGACGTGGTCAAAAGCTGCACCAGCTCAGCACCCTTCTAGGACAGGCAGCCAGGGCTAGCTCCATTATATCCAAGATCAGTGTTAGGGATCCTTTTTGCTTTTCGGGTTAGGGGCTTTCATAGATGAACAAAAAAGACCCCTTTTTCTTCCTAGAGGAACAGGGATTAAGTATCGAATACCAAAGATCCCGGAAAACAATAGCAATATATGCACATGTGCCTGTCTAAGATCTGCTGAGGCGACAACACCACGTGCTGCTGTGAGACGCGCGCCCTGCAATGCTCCCTGTCAGCATTCACTTGCAAGGGCCCTTCTTGCTGGCTGCCTTTGCCTTCGCTTTGCGTTTTGGGGCAGCTGAATCATCGGAGTCGGCCTTGGGTGAAACAATTGGGTTGAGAGTTGCATTTGCACATTCACACACACACACACACACACACACTTCTTGAATTCAGGTTGAGGGCTTGTCATCTAAATGCCTACAAGCTTCGAACTTGGATCTGATGGCCCGCATGCCGTTGTTGTACTTGTCCACAGCATTGATCAGACTATCAATCAAGGGCTCCAAGATAGCCTGGTCTTTCTGGCCTTCCACAATCCTGCCCTCCAAAGCATCGATGCCCTCGGAGACCTGTCCTGAAAGCCAATTGATCTCCGCCAGGTATCCCTTGTTCATTTCCGGTGACCTGAATTTCCATATATGGGCCCTATCACATGTGCATGGTTTAGGGTGTTCCGGTAGCCAAGCAGGCTAATTCTAGAGGCAAGGCACGCACGTGCATCTTTGCCCTTAGCACTGTCATCCTTCACCTTCTTCGTCCAAACCTTTGCATCCGTCAAGCAAGTCCTGGCATCCTTTATCTTGGCCTTGGCCTTGTTCTCATAGTTGACAGGCTTCGGTGCTTTCGGTTTTTTCTTCAAGTCCTCAGCTCCAGCAGGGGCCCCCGTTTGAGAACCATTCGAGTTGTTCCGTCGCAGGTTGCTTCTGGCGCCCATCAGATCGGCACCATGCGTGGCATCCAGCAAGCCGGGCCTTGGATGGGGTTTACTTAATATTTGGGTGTAGGGTTGTCCTTTTGAGTGGGAAGAGGGTTGTCCTGTTTGGAGTGTGAAGAGGGGTTTACTTTCGGTGTGGGGTGGTTGCGACCCTAAACCGGCCTAATTATCAGCTCTATATAGACCCTTATAAACCCAGAAGCCTAAACACCCTGGCCTAGCTACAGCTAAACCCTAATGATTTATCAGCCCTAAACCCTAATTAAAAACCTAATAACACCTAAAGTGGCCCAAGCCCTTGTAAACCCTAGTCTTACAAACCCTGTGCCTGTACATGTGAGTAACAGGTCTCAAATCTAGGCTAGCTGCAGGAGAGCTCTGGTTCCTTGCCCGCTGACATTCATTTGCGCTTGAACCCCAACTCGCATATTCTCCTCGTCCTGCTGTTCGACTGTGGCTGCCTTGAAGGTCAAGAACATTTCGTAGTCCTGCCACACACGTAACATCCGATTCTACAACTCTACAAAGCTTCAGTAGCTGGCCGTGGTACATGTACTACACAGTCCTCCTCCCTGGGAAAGTCAGGGTGTACCTGCCAGTGGGGCGTCCCTGGCAGGTAGTCTCCCTTGATTTGCTGCTGGGTCTTCTTCTCCTGAACCAATTGGTCGGCCAAGGTTTTCCCGTGCTCGGTCTTCAAGTCTTTGTATGTTGTGTACCCTCGCAGCCCAAGGCGGGTAGTTCGGGCTTTCTGCTCCGCCTCCATGACCAGCTTGCTTGACAGCCAGTCCTCGTTACTGTCAAGGTAAACCTGGAACAGCTTCTTGAGCGTCTTCGTGCCTGTACAGGGTAGAATGTACATACATCGATATCAACGAGTCGACTAAAAAAACCTCAGCCTTGGACCCCGGACAACTCTCGATTATAATTAGGGTTTAGGGCCATTTAGGGTTTAGGGTTGCACTGGGAGCAGCCAAGGCACTCCAGCCACCATCGGTTGCCTTCTGGACGATGACATCCGGGCACTCAGGACCTGGGTGACAGTTATGTGCCCTAAACCCTAAACCCTAAAATTCGCGATGAGGTATAACCCTAAAACTATAATAACTCTAATAAACCTATACAATTATAAACCCTAATACCCTTGAACCCTACCCTAATTATAAGCCTTAAACATGATGACCCCTAAACCCTAAACCCCAAACTTATAATAACACAAGGCAGCCCAGTAGCTCTCCAGGGAACGATTGAAGCGCATTCGTGCTGCGTGCCTCTCAGCCTTGTCGCGTGCCTTTCCTGCAGCTGCAGCTAAAGTGTCTAAGTCTTCCTCGTCCTCACCATCGGAGGTCCCAGCAGCAATCTGCTTCTGAAGGGAAGCAAGTGATAGCTTCTCAGTGGGCTTGGTCCTTGCCTCTCAGGGTCATGAAAGCACATGTGCTGCATATATCATGATCAGTAAGTGTGCTGGAACACATGTCAAAATTAGTGCCTCGATGTCAGCTGTTGTCAATCTTTGCAAGGAAGCAGCAACGGCACTAATCCTTTCCAGACTAGCTTTTGCCGGCGCTGGTGTTGTAGACTCGGCTGGTGCTGGTGGGGCATTGTCAACCGTCGGTTCCGCCACCATTGCAAGATACGGATCATCAGCCACAATGTCCCTCACCCTCGCAGGACTGGCTACCGGCAACGCTCTGGCATCCTCTGGCTCCTCCTTCAAGGCAACAGCCTTTCCATTCGGAGATGTCTGTGCCTTGGTCACACTCCCTATTACCCATGTCTGCATAGGATACACATGAATACAGGCGAAACCCACTTGCAGCAGAGTAGCTTTGACAATAAGATTGCTCAACATTGTCTCCAGCACAGTGTCAGACATGACACAGATGGAGTCTGTGTCCGAGTCGTCATCACGAGGAGGGCTGAAGCATGCTCCTGGGTCGGGGGCACGATAGGTCTCATCCGGGGTTTCGCCTGTACCAGCAGGAAAGGGGTCTGCGCAAGCTTCGGGGAGGTCACCTGTTCCACAGCAGGCCATGTGCTTGGGCGGCGTCTTTGGGGCAGCAGTTGGGGCCACCTCATCGGGCTTAGGGGCATTCTCTGCGACAGCACTCGAAACCACCTCTGGGACAGCACTTGGGGCCACCTCATTGGGATTCTCTGGGACAGCGCTTGGGGCATTCTCTGCAACAGCACTCGAAACCACCTTTGCGACAGCAGCCACATTGGCATTCTCTGGGACAGCACTTGAGGCCACCTCGTCGGGATTAGGGGCATTCTCTGCGACAGCACTGGAAACCACCTCTGGGAGAGCAGTTGGGGCCACCGCACACTCTGGGAGAGCACTTGGGGCCACCTCATTGGGCTTCTCTGGGACAGCAGTTGGGGCCACCTCGTTGGGCACCTCATCGGGCTTAGGTACAGCACTCGAAACCACCTCTGGGAGAGCACTTGGGGCCACCTCATTGGGATTCTCTGGGACAGTGCTTGGGGCCACCTCGTTGCAATTCTCTGGGACAGCACTTGGGGCCACCTCATTGGGCTTCGATGCATTCTCTGGCGCAGCAGCACTTTCGAGCAAGGTAGGGGCAGGCATGTCCTCGGTGGACTGGGACTCTTGCAGGGTTTGTGTTTCACCTGGAACCCCATCAAGATCTTGGAACGTAGCCGGTAGTGTGTCATCATCGGCACCAGCAGCCAAGGCTGGCGCGCGGCCCTCCTCTGCATTCTGCCGAGTTGTGACAGCCTCATGAAGAAGAAGGCGGGCGCTTTGCTGCACGGAGTCCATCTGACGCCACACTTCCAGACGCTCGTTGAATTGGGCCCCAAAGCAGTCCTTCTTACCCAGAACAGTGATCAGTCGATGGAGCCTTGCACCTGCCCGACCAGTGAACTCATCAACCTTCTGCTGCAGATCCTGTTGTCTCGAATCCAAGCTTTCTAACTCTTTGTAAAGCCAGTTCTCGGCGATCTTCTTCTTTCGAACATCAAGCTCCGTTGGCTTTTCAGTTGGTAGTGCTTGCAGGATTTTGCCGGTGGCCTTCCTTGCTGCTGCTTCGCGCTCAGGCAGGGACTCCACAAAATCCCTTTGGTCGTCGATGTGCTGAAGTGTCTCCGACATGAGCCCCTTAAGACTCTGCAGAGCTTCCTCAAAATGCTTGACCCTTCCCCAATCCAGAAGCTCGGTAGGCCCCACTTCCTGCAGGAAGTCATTCAGCATGAAGTCTTGGAAGCCACGCAGACCATGACTCATCAGTCTAGGGCCAATATCGGCGTCCATGAAGAGCAAATCCCAGCACTGGCTGTCCATGCCCAGGAAGTCATCCAAGAGAAGTGGTTCTCGATCATCCTTGCTGGCACTTTGGCTGGCCCACGGCATCGTTGCCTGGGTCTCGATGGGACCACCGGTGCCTGAGCTTGCAGTTTCTGGGACTATAGCTGATAATCCAGGGGATAAAGTGCAACACCTCTTACACAAGAACTCATTGAGTGCTAGCTGCAGTCTTGCCGGGACGATCGCTGTCCACGTAGGTAAAACCTGCTATTCGAGCTCGAGCCATCTGACTTGGCACTCAGCTGACTGGCAGCATCCTTCTCCGAACTCTTGGCTTTTTTGCAGGGAGGGCTCTTGACTGGGGTGCTTGGACAGGCTTGCGACCCTGGATTGGTGGCTGGCTCGGCGCACACCTGCTTGGCCCCCATGGTCTGCACATACTTCGGAGGGTTGGCTTTCTTTCTTCCCAATGCTTTGGCAGCAGGAGCAGTAGCACCTCATCAATGCATCTTACAGGAATTGTGTTCACAGGGCACATCAGAAGGCTAGATGTAATGTTGCTCTTTTTCCCAAGCCTGCACCAGACTCTTTCAAGGCCTTTCTAACTTCTTCTGCCGTGTTAGGCGAAGCTTTGCTTCCAGGCTTCGAAGCAGCCTGCACACAAGACATGCCCACATGATCGTTTCATGCCTGTAATACCACACAGTCTACATGAAGATTGCAGTCCAGGCACCGCAGCATCTGTAGATGCTTTCCTCGTGTATGGCCCCGGCCGGGTTTTGGTAGAATCCGGAGGCACCACGGGCATCACACACCGATTCTTCGCGCCGGAAAACCCTCCCCAGGAAAGGGCTCAACGTAAACCCAACGGAACCGGGCAGCCTGAGCCAGGCAGGCAGGAACGCACAGAAACGCACAGAAACGCACGCGCAGGAGTTCCCCAGGATGGACTTTGACCCCAAAACGCACGCAAACGCACGCAAACGCACAGCACTCTGTGCAAGGTCCGGTTTCTTAATTTAGCGCAGGGTCTCGTCCCCATTAGGGTTTCCGCTAAAACCTTTCTTGGGAATGACTTAGGGCTGCCCCAAAAAAGCTACATCACAAAGACGTCTCGTGTAAGGATATCGGGCTTACGTTTAAAAAACCATTCGGGGGACGGTTTCTGGGAAACTCAGTGGCGAGCATTGCTTGCAGAAGCAAACTAAGGAGGATGAAGCAGATGAGAAAGCCTCACAGCCGCATTTTGTGCCATGCTGCGAGGGTGTTCCGTCGATGCATGAATTAGAAATTGAAATGCATACTTGCATAGGCACTGTACCAGACCAGGTCAGGCATCTAGATTGGGTTTTTGTTGGAGCTCGGGATCAAGCAGGCCCTCAAGAATGCTGTGTGCAGTGCCTGGGCATTATGTAGCAAGTCGCACATGAGTGTCCACAACAGCAGCTAGAGAGCAGAAGCTACTTCTGCAATTCTAATTCTAATGCTAGATGTACTACTAGTAGTTGCAAGACCCGTACCCATAATGTATGAGCTCCCAACTCACCTTCACAAGAGAGGGTAAACACTCATTGGCAACCTTGCATCGGGCTGCCAACCGCTGCCCGTTGCAGCTGCTTCCTCAAGGAACGTTTTGAGTGGCTCCAGCCCGGCTTCGGACCAATCATACTCCAATGGGGGCACCTTGCAGCCCATGTGCAGGCAACAAATGTATTGCATTGGATGAGTGCAGGCAGGTGTTGCACCAGACTCTGAGCACAAGCGTGTTTTGCTGCAATGAGTTTGAAGCAAGACACGGCCACTTCTCCAGTCATAATCATCTGGGCCACATCACGCAAGGGGCAACCCCCTCCAAGTCCACCATGCTTTCCAGCCTTGTCGGCAGGGGGGTGTGTTGCCATCGTTGCGCAGCCACACAAAAAAAGTAAGAATAACAGATCTCTGAAACATATGAATATTACACAGATATACATACACATACATATGTATATATTGCTAGTATATGTTAATGTATATTATGTATATACATATATATATATATATGTATATAGAGTTTCGGGTCTTTTTGGCTTAGGGTTGTTTAGGTCTAGGGCTTTTCCAGAGGGGTTAGTTTCTTTTTGGGCTTAGGGTGTTTTAGGGTTCAGGGCGTTTCTTGGTTATGGGCTCCAGGGTTGTAGTGTTTAAATTAAGGCCAGGGAGTTTTCAGGGTTTAGGGGTTCGTTTTTTTGGTTTGCATTGGGGCTTAGGAAACCCTCAACCCCAAACCCTGAAAACCCCTAAACCCTTAACCCTTATAAACCCTAAACCCTAGACCTAAAAACACCTAAATCCTCAGACCCCTGAACCCAAAACCCTACAAAGCCCTAAGCCCTAAGAACCCCTAAACTTATAAACCCACAAAACCCTAAACCGTCAGGCCCCCTAAAATACTCCCTAAACCCAAAAATAAAGCCTGCAGAAAAGCTAAACCCGTGCAAGGTGTCCTTGTGGGAAACACCCCATATGTATCCCGAATACTTTATAGTCTGCTACGATTAACCTAGCAAGTAGAAGTGCAACTTTAGAACCGAGCCTTCCACCTCATAAGTTCACATCCCAATCTGGTACAAGGAACCCAACACCAGAAAGACACACATAGAATTGTAATTTACCATGGCCACCCACCTATCCGAGGAACTCCGAACTCCGGACCCTGGTCTTTGCTGCAGACTGGCAACCAGCAGCGCATCGTGCAGCTGTGCCACTCGTCTTCCAAAGCAGACCGGGTAGCTGCCCGAAGACTCCATATCTCTGGCCCCAGTCCTTGTCTGAGTTGGGATTTGGAAGAGTTGGGATTTGGAATTCGTAGACTGACCGACGCACAAGTAGTGTTTAGGAGTTTCGACGTAATGCTATGCAGGAGGCACTTTCCGGACACCATCCTTTATGGCCACCTTTACCATCTGTTTGTTCAGCTTCGCCTTGCGGCCATCGATTTTGCGCTGCTCTTCTTTGGTCAGCTTGTTCTTCAATAGCATCGCCCATGGTCTCAGCAGTGGTGATTTTTGGTGGACCGGGTTCTTTTGTGAACACGAAAGAAAACACTTAGTATGTGCTCTCAGTCGATCAGGCCCCGACACCGAGCCAAAGCCAATACTCGGCTTGCGACACCAGTGATTGAAAACTCCCATCCACCTGACAGCACGCAGGGGCTCGATCTCTGGGTGTGCTAGTTTTGGTAATTTCTTTTGCCGGGCTTTCTAAAGACACCGATCTGGGATACCTGCAACTCTAGCTAGCTGGTGATGTCAAGGTGCCATTTCACAGTTGCCGTGTTCATCACTCGACAGTTCAGCGTCTTCAACGAAAGGGCATACTGGAGGTATGGGAACTCTGTCATCGTTGACATTGCTGGCTGCTCCAGGAACCAGTAAGCCCCACGACAGAGGGCCACCAGGAGCAACAGCACGGACCGCGTGGTCAACAAGTTGCCCGTTCTGACCCAAGCGTGTTCCTCTTTCCCGAAAGGAAGCGCCCAGCTTCTCTGGTGCTGCGATTTGGAAACCCAAACAAATGACCCGCAAGGGCTACCAAGCCAAACTAATCCGCCCACACGGACTCTCAATAGCTTTTGCAACGCCAGAAGAAAGCCTCGTGTTTCGCCAAGGTTCTCATCACCACGATGGAGACAATCAAACAGAAGCCTTAACTAATGAGTGTTGTGGTTCAGACATGTGCACATTGAACCATTGCACTTGCAAAAGCCATGCGCAGGGCTTAAATGTTTTTGCAGTCCGGCTTCGCTTTGTGGCCTCTGGCTCCTTATTGCAGAATCTGCTAAGCACAAATTGTGGCTACCCACAGCTGCAGCTCTGCAACTTCGAATTCTTGTGTAGCCAAGCTGCTGAATCCGGCCGCTATTGAGCCAACACCAGAGAACACCTCGAAGCATTGGACATCCTGGGCCAAGATAGTGCAGGGTCGAGAAACATGGGGATCTGGGACTGTATTGAAGATCTACTGTGCAATTTCCAAACCAGAAGCCCGAGACCGCTCTATGTCTAGAACTTACTTTGGGTGTCAAGAAACTCTCTGGCACCAAGGAATGTCTGCACAGACATAAGAACAGTAGTCCAGAGCATGGATCCTCGAATGCTAACGAAACCGCAGGCAAGAAGTCTCCTTGCTAGTGCCACACTGGAACTGTGCTAAGCGCATGTGTCTCTCAGCCTCAGGCACTACAGGTGGTACGTGCAGCATGAGCAGCAGCTGCACGGTCAGGCAGCTCAGCTGCAGGCAACCACACTTTGCTGCATTACCATCCATGGTGGGCCGGAAAGTTATGTCGGGGTAACACTTCGGCTGAAACATCACTTCGGGCATGAAAAGACCAAGCAGCACCAGTTATAAGTGCTCACAGTTGTGTCTTGCATGTGAAAGAATAGATGTAGCAAGGCAGACATAGCGAGACACACTTTCTGCGCAGAAGATGCACTTCCGGAACTGCGACACGCCGTGGGCACTCGATCGAACAGCCTAAAGTCAGTTCGCTCGCAGGCTCACAGCACCTAAGATCTCTGCACGCTTTGCTCGCGTGCATCTAGTGATACTCCACCGAAACCAAAACCAGAAAGGCTGTGACAGAGAGGCTGTGAGAAGGTCACACAGCTCAGCAGCTGCCCGAAAAATCGTCGCTTCATCGAAATGCAACTTGATGTGACTACTTATAAAAACTTAAGGAATAGTAGAGGAATCAAACCCCACGCAGCCAGCTGCACTCTTGAAGACTGCTATCCACAGCTACAGCTGATTAAAGTAGGCAGGACGTTGCACACATAGGCCTGGTACCGGATATCGAATCTAAAGAGATGCTACCATAGTGCTTTTTGAGCGAAGCAACAAGCCCTGCCAACACCCCATCCAGTGAAAATCACTCACACCCAAGGCACATGGACTGCCACATCTGCTGGCGCTGGCATCAATCGCACTTCCTGGGCAGCCGGCTGCAATATGGGTGTGACTAGGTTCGAGAGTGATCATGCTTCGTAGTTATAATTTCTGGGTTGCGTGCGATGCAAAGTTTTGTTATCAGTTGTTGATTGGGGTGGTCCTTGAAGCCAAATTGG